TGGGTCTCTGCGGAAATTGGGGGGGGGGGGCAAGAGACAGCGAACCATGTTTGCTGATCTTTGTTATGAAAGTTTGGCGGATCCAGAGAAGTCCTGGCTTGTGCCCAATGTGTGGGATTGGGAGGAGTGTTGGTGTAAGGCTTGTGCGCTGGGGGGACACTGATTGGGGGGACTTTTCGAAGTGCAGTCCTTTCCTTGTCTACCGAGAAGTAAGTCGCCAGTGGATTCAAAACGGATTATTCCCCGTTGCGTGCGTGTAGGAGTGTGAGCTCATTTTGGTGTCGTATTTTTCTAAAGATGAGATGCGACTGGTTGAAATCGAATCCACGAATTCTTACTGGAGAGAAGTGGTCCTCTTTTATTCAGTGGTGATGATGTGGCACTTTGTACATGCTCGGGAGACACTTTAACTATGATTTCCCAGCTTTGGGCTGGGTGTGCCTAGATAGCAGGATTGAAAAGGGATCCTGGATGGCCTTCGCTTTAAGGAAGCTCTCTGGGCTGACATGGGCTGAAGTTACCCAGGGGCTGCCCTGCCGAAGAGGAGTGTAGTGTCACTGATGATTTTGCCGCAATGTAAGCCGCGAAAGAAAGGTAACGGGGGTCCCGGTCCTTACCCACAATGGTAACTATACCCCATCTGAGTTTTGAGCTAACAGGAATTTTGTTTTGCTTACAGCTGCTCTGTGACATTACTGTCCATTACATCGCTCTTATGTAATGCGCGCAAAAGGCGAACGCCTTAAAACTTCCGCGCGGAGCTGCAGCCGGGGCGGCAGGGCGGGGGAAGGGAGGGGGCGAGGACGTCCGAGAGTCCTGGCCGAACAGACCTTTAACATCAGTCGCGGCAATTGCGACGGCTTCGTCCGAGACACCACCGGATACTTCACGTTTAGCGTCACCTCAAGCGGGGGATTCCCCTTCGGCCTTTGCGCCGGGCAGGCTGGAGAAGGCTCGACAGCTCTGAAATAAACATAGTGGGAAAGGAAGGCTGCTGCTTTAAGGTCGTGGGCGCTTACCTAGCCCGCTTACTCAGCAGGACGCCCCGCTGACTTCGTTTGGGACTCTCCAACACGTAAATAAATGCAGGGTGGCTATTCTCT